TAGGCAATTGACTGCTTTGGACACCCGCCTACCTGCCAAAATTCACCCTTCCGTAAAGGATGGGCAGATGGGACGCCATTGCGAAACATCTTTGTGCTTGTGTATGCAATATGCCTTACCAATTGTGCTGTCCTTCCTCCATTTTCCAATAGAACTAAATCTCGTCTTCTCATATAGCAGTTTACACCTCCCCACAACTTCTTCCTCTGTTTCCTCAACAGAAATAAAAGACAAATTATCGAAGAACAGTTTATTCATACCAATTCCGTACAACACTGTGACGAACCAATTTCTGTTCCGCACGATGACTACGAGGGGTCCTGAGATGGGAAGGTTGGGCCAATTATGGGAGATCGGGATCGAAGGGAAATTGCATCGGTGTCCTCGCTTCTTCGTCTTTTCTCTTTTGCGTCGTTTCTTTTCGGATGGCTGGGTTCAGGGCCGGGCAAGTCCCGAGATGGCTGATTGAGTGGCTGTCGCGCCGACAAAGGCGCGAATAATAATGTTTGACGTCGCTTCTTTCTTGTTCTGTTGTTGGGTTTTAGGCGCAGAGGTCGCGCGGGAATTTTGCTTCGTTCTTTTTGAATTTCTTTTTCGAATCTTGTCGAGCCCTTGATGCCCCTCGGAATTTCAGACTTTCTTCTCGGAATTTGCGTTTTATTTCTTTTCGCAATAAATTTAGGAATTTAGGAATTCGGGATTTCTTTTGCCACGCGTTGTCTTTCTTGCGCGCTTCTTTTTGCGGCTGCAACAAAGCTCTGATTAGTCGGCGCCCTTAATCTTGCAAGTAACTGTAATTTTTGGGCGGGCGCCATTGTAACTGTATCTTTCTTCTTGAGCTTCGTCTTTCCCGCTCTCTCTCTTCCCCTTTTGCTATGCCTAGTTAGCCCGCGACCTGCATGTTCGGATCGATGCACGGAGAGTGGCTACGTCCCCCATGCCGTGGTCTGGCCATGCAGAACATAGGCGCTCCCTCTCCTAATCTCCTTTCTAAGTCCTTGCAATTCCGTGTTCTTCGCGCATGCATGCACACTATAAATTTTGGTTGCGCGATTAGATAGCTCTCTTAACCAGCTGTTGGAAGCTCGGGGTAGCGCGATCAGTGAGGGTCGGCTCATGAGCGAAGTAAGAGGTGAGTTGAAGTGGGAGTCGGGCGACCCGACGAGCTGGTGCTGAATGCGCGGGGTTGACGCGTGGGGCTACGACGGACTGTAGCACGCGGGCGAACCTGACGAGTGCAAGAGGACCAAGCGGGGTGACGACTTCGTGGGTTGGTGCGTGACGACGGACTGTCCGCATCGGAGAGAGAGAGAGAGAGGAAGAGAGAGCTGAGGTTGATGGACGTGGATCTGTAATTTTCTTTGTCTTATCATCCTCTTTGCTTTTGTACATAAATTTTGATATCGGCTCAGGGCGACTTGCCCGTTTCCTTTGTTTTCGGAATCTTTGCCTCGGTTTCAGCCCACCCGTGTTTTGCGATTGATCTTGATCTCAGCTATCGTATGTTCTGTCGAATAACTGGATGAATGAATGTTATGTCTGTTGTTTTGTCTAGTCATTGCCTTTGCGTGCCATTATGCTACACCTATAAGCAAGGTAGAAATTCTTGCATAATCGTCATTATTGCTTCCATTATTGCTTCCATTATTACATATCACTTCGATCTGCTGATGTTGCTGTGATGTCTGATGTGTGATAACACCTTGCGTGCTCGGGAATGATTGCTTGCGGGATCACGGAGCGATTAGATGATTAGGTACTAGTTGTTTATGGCACATGGCGATTTTGCATAAGGAATTAGGCTTTTATTTTTTTTTTGGAAACAAGCGAATACCTTGCGGGGATACGTGTAAGCGCGATCTGATCCACGCGCGCCGATTCACGACCATTGACGAACTCGACATCTCCGATAGCGGGTAGGCGGGAATTTTCCATCCCCCACGCACCTAAACGGATAGGAATTTCCGATATCACATCAGGAAAATCCCCTTGCCGACTGGATGCGTGGGGAAGGTTTCCATTATGCAGCAATGACAAGATGCCGAGCTCCTGGGACTCGGAGTAGTTCGACCCTTGGGTGAGAGAATGTATTAGGCAAAGATACCCGAAATTTCCCTGCCTAACCGAGAATCGAATCGATTGTGCCCAAGGGAGTTTCATTGTGCCATAACCAGCGATCCGAGGTGCCCCAATTTTCCCACTACGGATAACACGCAATACTTCATATCCCCCGGCTTCGTCGTTATCACTACCAATTTTCCTCCATTCCGTCTCCTCTTTCCATATCACCAACTCACAGTGGTTCTGTGGAATTCCATCGCCCGTATTGGCCCCGCACGCCTTGCGGAAATTGTTGGCGATGCGGCAACCGACGAGCCTCTGAGACTACGGGGCCTAATCAAAACGCGCGACGACAGACACCACGTGTCTGCACCCCAAGGTCCGACTCAGCGGAATCACAACCATCCCGAGCGGGCCTCTCCCCGAACCGCCTCCACCAAAACAGACGGATCGGACGGCCTTGAATGCACCGGGCATGCCATCTGCCTTATGCTGCACCACCTCGACCGCCATGAGATCGGACGTAACTCGCCCCCTTGGCTCTATTGCATCTATGCCCCTGAAACTTTGCCATAGGAGATCTCAATTCTGACCTGGGACTCCACCCCCTTCACTTTGCCAAAAATCCTTGGCACACCCCTTTTCGCACTTCCAGGCCCACATCCCACTCCGATCAGGAAATCGCGTCGGGCGTGAGGTTGGGCGTCACAACGCAGGGCAGCATATGTAGGTATCACTAGGATTATGGTTTAAAAGGGAGCATACAAGTCCTTTCAATCTCGCACCTTACAAGGTCGCTACATCTTCCGAGAAATTCGAGTCAACGAAACAGCAAACATTGGCCACGCATGACAAAAACAGGGTAGAGTGGCTGTCGGCGGGGGACATAGTAGGTAAGGATTGTATGCTACGAAAGGAATCACAAACTTGGGACTTGGAGGGAAATAGGATTGCTACTGACTGGTTTAAGAATGTTCTTCGAATTTCGCATACAAAGAGGAAAGTCGTCAAACGAGCTGACGCAAAAGGCCACATGGTCGTTAACCCGTGAAAAAGAGTCATCGGTATTCCTACACCCACACTCGAAAACACCGCTCCTTGCTACTTGCTGATGATTGTGTACGATATCACCCACGGTCTTGTTTCACAGCCAGACGACACGCATGCGATGAATCACCATCACTTTCCATGTTGGATCAATATCCAACTTATCAACCAGGACTGCGCAAACTTTCCAAATTTTGACTTTGTTGTACCGATCATCATACGTGATACGAATCACTAAACATTGCCGGATATGAATCCCGAACCTGCAGAAAACAACTTTCGACAATATAATCCGTAACCTACTCTTGGTTCGCTTCTCTCGAAAACAACGGACCGCTGAAAAGGCATATACGACCTTTCCAAACTTCCACGTCTTCAATTCCTTTCGAGTAATTGGTTGACTCGACAACTCAGTTAACCGGGGCCTCAGAGACAATGAGCTACGGCAAAAGGGTACCACAAAAATGAAAGAAATGACGGCTAGGTGAGTAAATCATCCTTTCGATCTCCGGAGCTGATCCGTTCCATAACGACAGGAAACTACCGACGAACCATAACACCGTTTTAGCACCTTCCAATTATCTAACAACAGTGGACCGCCTTGACAAAATATCGCAAGACGATCAATCTTCTCATCCCGGCAATGATTAAGAATCCGCAACAAACGGAAGACACGGACCGTAGGTGATTTGATGTGTGATGATTGTATTTTTTATTATTATTTTTTTTCTATATTCTTTTCTCAATTTCTGTATTTGCCTTTCACTACCTACTCCTAAGGCTATCTAGAGGGGACCCCTGCAAGCATAGTTTCCTCTCACTTTGAAGGGGAGATTTCATGTTGCCCCTTGCCCCTAATAATTAGGGTATAGGGTTGGGGCCGCCAGTGGGGGTCTGGCTAACACAAAGACCGAGACCTGCCAGTAGCTGCGCCTCCCTTTCTCATCGTCCCCCACCCCTCATCGAGTAGCAGCAGTAGCTATGGCCAACACTCTCCCACACACCACACACAACCCGACTGCATCTGTGTTGAAGAACATAGCTTTAAAAAAAAAAAAAAAGGGGTAAAAATGGAAAAGCAGCCCCCGTGCCGTGTCCCATGTCCCACTTCTCTCGAGGCTTTGTTCTGGTTTCAAGTGTACATCGCTCCTCCTCGCCATCCGATCTGCAAATCTCACGGCCCTACTTTAGTGTGACCACTTTGGAAAATACACGAAACAAAAATTAAACCCCCGCTAGTGGGTCACGGCCCGCGGAGCGGAAGAAAGCGTTCCCTCAAACACATGAGTGACCTTGGGGAGGAGGAGGGCGGCAGGAAAGGTAGCAGAGGTGACCAGCCCTTACGCTACCAACTGAATCTGGCCTCACTCCACTACACAAAGCACTCGCAACGTATGTGGACAGGTGCATGACAATATACATAGGGACCAATTGAGCATTTTCTGAATGTATTCGGGCCATCACTAGCGGTCGGACGAAACAGGTCGGGTCCCTCGCCAGATGCCCAGCTTGGTATTCACATATTGGCGTGTTGTCGCCATCTTTCGGTTCGGGCTGATGGGATGTGCTTCATTCACGTTTTTGTAATCCCATCCTGTCACGTTCGGGTTCTTGCATCAGCGTGTTGGCTTATCTTTGTGCTTCCCCTTTTCTCTCTCTCTCTCTCTCTCTCTCTCTCTCTCTCTCTCTCTCTCTCTCTCTCTCTCTCTCTCTCTCTCTCTGACTCGTCAATTTCGTCTATAGTCAGCCTTGTGTGTCGACGATTTGCAATCTTCTTGATGTTTGATGGGATTCATGAAGTTGCTTCAACCATCCTTTCAACGTTGTAACCCCCGTAAAAATTAGACTACGGGAGCGTGGCTCGGTTGCGGGGTGATAGGAGATGGCGACTCTTATAGACACACTGTATTGTTTCTCTATTACTCCCACCTTCCTCCTCTTCTATTCTATTCTATTATGCACTATGGCGAGTACGTTTCCTTCTCGTAGCTGCTATAATTGCGGTTCGCCTCATCATTTCTGTCGGGAATGTCCGCAACGATTCGGTGGTCAACGGCCTCTGGCGACCGGCGCTAACGCTGTCCCTACTGGGAAGCCTCTGCTCACGCTTCCTGCACCTGCAGCGAATGGAGATGCGACTCATGCGGCGGCTCAGCTAACTGCCGGTAATACTGGAGGTGGATACCATAATAATGGTTACCAGTATGGGGGGCCGCCACGTAACAATTTATGGAAGACCAATCAAGAGCGGTTTGGCAAGGTGTATAATAAGTATTTGGCGGACACGGAGAAAGAATCTAAGCTAAAGGAGGAGGAAGAGAGAGCTAGGAAGACCAAGGAGGAGGAAGAGAGAAAGAAGGAGTGGAGGAAAGAGCGTGAGAAGTTGGAATTAGAAATGGCGGCGAGGATCGATAAACGAATGGGGGCGGTGTGCAAGTCGGTCAAGGTCAATCGCCAGACTGAGGGGGAATGCAATACGAAGGGGGAGGATAAGGTCTCGAGGCTGAAGCGGGAAAACGAAGAGCTTAAGCGGGCGTTGCGAGGTGACGTAGACGATGCGAAAGTCTGCAAGCTCGAACGGGAGATTTTAGAGTTACGTAAGCAGGTGAACGAGAAGGAGAGTAAGAGAGACGAGATTGTGGCACTCAAGTATGAGATCCAGCAACTGCGTGAATCGGCAATGAAGGAGCAGGACTTGGCTGGGCTTAAGAGGCAGTTGGAAGATCTTCGTATTGAAGCGCGTCAATGGAAGGATGAGGCATTGCGGCCAGAAAACAAGCGAGGCAGCATCGCTATGTCTACCCCGGATACTAATGCACGTGCGTCACCTAAGCCGTGTTGAACGTGCGACAAGGATCAGGAACAAGAAAATTGGAGATGAGAATATAGGAAGCTGCAAAGTTTTCACAGAGCGGATTTCATGGAAGTGGAGGCGCTTAAGAAAAAGAAGGCGCAAGCTGAGATGGAGGTCATCAATCTGCAGAAGCAGATAAGTAAACTGAATGCTATAGAGGTGGGAAGGGAGAGGACGCTGGGAGGAACAAATTTGAAGGAGAGATTGGAGGTTGTGGCTCTTGGGATGGCCCGGAAAGGAAGGAAGGTCACTCCAAATCGGGAGGGGTTGAGGCGTACACCGCGCCGTGAGGAAGAGCCCAAGCATGGAGATCACGATCGTACTGCATTTGTCGAGGAGCAAACCAAGTTCCTGAAGATGTTGAGGAAGTCTGCGTTGGAACAAATCTGCAAGGAGGCGGGGCTGAAGGCCGGAAAAGTGGATGATATGATTGAGGATATCATGCAATTTCGAACGAAGAATGCGTTTGGGAAGAAAGATGATAAGGAACCGGTGGAGGTCGTCAACATTGATTCGTCACGTGACGAGTCCACAAGCGGCAGTGACGAAGTCTCCGTGGAACTCCAGTGAATTCCCCGAACGCGGCTAGTTTATGGTCATTGGCCTTGCTATGTAGACAACGTATATCTTTCTCTACTTCAGTTGCTGAAACGGATTCCTTTCCTCCTTCGTCTGTAAGTGTTGATGACTCTTTTCCGTCTTGGACATCATGGTGTTCGACCTCTTCGTCTGCTCGGGGTGTGCCAGCTGAGGACTGTTTAGTACGTGATAAGGGTTTTACCGCCTTTTTCCGTTTGATTGTTATTTGGTTAATATTGAGGGGGGAAGTTCTGTGGGCTACGAAATTGGGCTCGTTTTTATCTGAGCTTCTAGACTCTGATTATGATTTGGAAGAATGTCGTGGTCCCCTTGTCTATGTGTTAGTCTCCCCCTGGTCCGGCCACCTCTACGTGGGCTCAACTTCTCGATCCCTGCACAACGTGCACGTCAGGTGGTGTGAGCATGTGTATCGTGCATGCAATTTGAAGGTTGTTGATGGTGGAGAACGTAATCGCCGTCTGTATGCTTGGCTTTGTCGATGTGGTGTTGGCTCTTATGTTGCGATCCTTTTACTTGGTTGCTATATTGAGGATATGTTGGGACTGGAGAAGAACATTATTCGTAGTCTTAATTCTTATCTCAACTCTATGGATCGACGGAAGAAGGGAAGGAAAAAATGACCTGGGTTGCGCGAACGTATCAGGCGGAGTAGATCTGTTTTTAGAACTGCCGTTGGTCAATCCTTTGGCACGCATCTCGTCTTTTGCTCATCTGATGGAATGGTCTCGACATCTCTTTCTCGTATACTTGAGTACTGCATGGAGTGTAAGGTACGTAAAGTTGGCATTGAATGTACCGGTGGAAATAGGCTGGCAGCGACTTGGAAAGTGCTAAAACGTAAATTCGGTTCTTCTGTCGTGCGTTGTGATGGGTCGGTGGAACTTTTTTGTAAGGCTAAGGGCTGGCTGCAGGCTGGGCAGTTCCTGATCTTAAATCCTGTTGTTGCTTTTTGCTCTCGGTCCGCTTTCTTGATTGCTACTTTGGTTGGGTTTCTGTCCGACCCGGCCTCCAGAAGGATTTTGTACTCTTGGGATCTGGGGATGTTGATTAACGGGTTCTCGACCATTCGGGGTCTTTCTGCTAAGCGTTCTCGGTATCACCTATGGGTCATCCTTTCTGGGTGTATTCGTAGACGATTTGGGGTGCATGTGCGACAGAGACTTACAGTCCGAGTCACGTCTTATGATAGATTGAGCAAACCAGGTATTTGTGAGTGTTGTACTAATCTGACTCGGATCATGGGTGCTGACACCTTGTTCGAATGGAAGGCAATGGTGTCGAGGAGGATGAGAGTGGTTTGGGTCAAGAACAAAAGCGTAGGTGAACTGCTATTCGATTTTAGGGCGGCTGCTAGAGAGAGGGAGGGGGCATGTACGTGTGCAGATCTGGATGCTACTTTCCCTAGGGTTGGTGGACATGTGTGCTTCAGGCTTAATGAGTGGGATATGGTTCTTTCATGGATAAGGAATAATAAGAACATTCCACGACCTGATGAGACTAACTTGATGTCACGATTAAGGAGACAATTGGATGGTTCGATGAAGGAGCTTGAGTTCTCGGTCTCCACGGTCACAAGAACGGGGTTGATGGGATGTTTTCAGGATGGTCGTAGAGAAGGTAGCGACGACTGCACTACAGATGCAGTCCTTGAATGGAAGAGAAGATTTCGGGGACTGGTGAAGGTGCCCATCGATCACAACGCGGGAGATACTCTGGTGTGTTGCCCATCGATCTACCATAAGGGAATTTCGAAATTATTTTTAGACAACCCTGGGTTCTTCCGTGTCACTAGAGATGAGGATAACCTGTTGATCGATATCGGGAACAGATACAAGGAACAAGGGTTTGCAAAATTTGCCAAGTTGGACACAAAGGGGAAACTGGGGGATGCATATGTTGTGCCGAAGCACAAAGATGTGGGTAAGTGGCGACCTATTTGCCCCTCGTTTTTCGAATGTGGGGTTAAGGCTAGTAAGAAGGTTTCACACGTTACTATCAAGCAAATGGTTTGGGATTTGCCCGATGGGTCGCATTTCATCTTGAAAAGTACGGATTTGCTTCGGGAAGGCATTCAACGGGTTAACACTGACTTGAAGGAAGGTGAAGGGTGGGTAACGACGACATTCGATATTAAGGAAATGTTCTGCAACTTGTCGCGCTCATCTATATTTCATGCGGTTGACTGGGTGACGGATTTCTAGTCTTCGAAAGGGATGAGTGGTGTGTTATTCCGTTGATTTTCAGACGGTCCGTGCGTGTGTCAGTTTTGACTTGCGCAATACCTACGTCAAAGTGGGTGGTGTTGTTCGGTAGCAAGTCGTTGGTATCCCGATGGGGAAACCGTCTAGTCCTGCTCTTGCTTGTTTGCTCTGTACTCATTCAGAGTTTGTTTTTCTGTCTTCAATTGGGAAGGATCAGAGATTGTTTCATGGGTTACGGCTTGTCCACGATGTTTCTGTTTTCGCTAAGTATAAGCTTGACGAGGCAGGTTTGAGGGCTAAGGCAGAGTTTTTGGTAAAACTTTTTGAAAAGAGTTACGACAAAAATCTGGTTTTGGAGTGTACCAGCCGTTCGAACTGCTGGGAATTCTTAGGATGTGTAATTAAGGATTTCGGTTACCCGGTGGAAGTTAGGTGTGCTGCCGTGCACAAGAATCAGAGGGGGATTTTGCAGGGCATTCGGTTCCAGAACCTGTAGGATGCATGCTCTTATACTAGCAAGCAACAAAAAGTGGCAGTTGTGGGATCCTTTCTGCATCGCGCAAAGCGGTTTACCAGCATGCCGGGTGCTGAGTTGTGTTTTCTCTTCTCCTTGAAGGTTGAGTCGAGACTTCGGGGATTTAGAGACGAGTTTTTCGATGATGTGCTGAGAAATTTTTCTGGTAAATTTGGAGGAGTGTGGCAAAACTGGGTTGATTGTCTGACGGGATGAGACAAGTTGCCCTCTGTTATTGATATGCCTCGTAATAGGCGGGGGGCAAAGCGTTCCGAGGGGCTCTAGACCGGGTTGGGTCTGGCTTCTCTCTGGGTTTATCAGCAGACAAAGCGTTTTGTGAGGATCATGAAGTAGGCAGTGGGTAAAGCGTTTCAGAGGTTTTAGACTAGGCTCGGTCTGGTTTTCCTCTGGGTCTGTCAGTAGGAAAGCGTTCTGAGGGGCTCTAAACTGGGTCCGGTCTGAATTCTTTCCTTATCTTGGGTCTTGCTACCACTCGAAGCTATCAGCTGAAGTAGGGTTCGAACAGGGTCTGTGTTTTGTTCGGTCGTGTCAAGATTGAGTCTTGGAGTTGACGATCGAGACCGGGTAGTCTTTCGGTAGAGCCTTTCATAGAATACTTATAGGGCCAACCACACACTGGTTTAGTATCCGTGACGCTTTGACCCCTGATGAGTTCGTCACTGGCGGACGAAACATGTCGGATCCCTCACAAGATGCCCGGCTTGGTATTCACGTATTGGAGTGTTGTCGCCATCTTTCGGTCCGGGCTGATGGGATGTGCTTCATTCACGTTTTTGTAATCCCATCCTGTTGCGTTCGGTTTCTTGCATCAACGTGTTGGCTTATCTTTGTGCTTTCCATTCTCTCTCTCTCTCTCTCTCTCTCTCTCTCTCTCTCTCTCTCTCTCTCTCTCTCTCTCTCTCTCTCTCTCTCTCTCTCTCTCCCTTTGACTCGTCGGTTTTGTTTATAGTCAGCCTTGTGTCGACGATTTGCAATCTTTTTGATGCTTGATGGGATTCATGAAGTTGCTTCAACGATCACTAGCAACGGATAACCTTGGAAGATCGTGCAGCAGAGCAAGGTCTCCTCAGTTGGGGTTTCTTCAACCTAAACCTACTCCAAGGGCCATGCCCCACCTATCGCCTACCTGTGGCGTTCTGCTTTTCTAGGGGTAGATTCCCAGACTGCCCGACGATTCTTCGGACGATACTCACGAGAGTATGAGACCAAAGGAAGCATACATGGCTGCAAGAGAAGGAGGAGGAGCTGCAGTAGCAGGAGGAGGAGCAGGAGGAGGAACAGGAGGAGGAGCAGGAGGAGGAACAGGAGGAGGAGCAGGAGGAGGAACAGGAGGAGGAGCAGGAGGAGGAACAGGAGGAGGAGGAAGGAAGGCTGGCAGCATAGGTACAAATGAAACCAACTCGTCCGGGTGCCAATCGAAAATAGTCCTTCAGGATGGTGTCGCCATGTCCTACTTCTCCTAATGGAGGGATCTGAGCGAGCAAGGCCCTAGTTGCACTACTGGCCATCCGCCAAGAATTCAAATGAATCTGGACAAAAGAGGACGTCCACATGCAATCAAGATGTTGGCGGAAGGTGATTAGTGCAACGAGGCCCCAATTGTGCACAAGCTGGCGAAATGCGGTCGAGTTGCTGCTCCGCCTTTCGGCCTCGCCACACCACTCTCGAAATGTGGAAAATTCAAAAATGTGGTGGGTGCATCTGGCGATGTTCTAGCGGGAAGTTCGTTCTCATTTTTGCACATGTCGAGAGTGAGGTGGAGATGCCCTTTCATTGTAACTGCCCAGGTAGTGTCCGCAGCTCTCTTGTGCAGACTAAACACGAATGCTGCAACGTAATGCAGCGAGATGACGGAGAAGCGCGCTACAGGTAGTGCCGAAATATGCTTGATTCCCTGCTCGACCTTCAACTGTAACTCCCGTGGCATAGGTCACCTTGGTTGCCCAGGCGCCTGGGTTGCAGGAGCAGTGGCTAAGGCTCTTCCAGCCCTAACGAGAAGAGGCATTTGCTCGCGTTGTATTCAATTTGTAATTTGAGCCTTGGGCACTGGGTCTCCACGTTTAAAAAAAAAGAAAAAAAAAAGAAAAAGAAAAAAAAGTTATAAATAATATAAAACTTGAACTTTTTTTTTTTTTTTGGGTAGTTTGTTATAATTGTGCAATATGATTGCATAGAGCTAGAGTGTATCTAGCGGCCTAGCTCGGTTGTTAAGGCACGCAAGCGGCATTCAGGAGGTCTTGGGTTCAATCCACATTGGCCTCATGTACCTTACTGGGCAAGCTTGGCGAACGTCACCTAGAGATATGCCCTTGGTCCCGCTGACTCCCTGAGTGGCATTGAGCAGAGACTGCTGATGTTCATAGGGGGAGGGGACCGGAGAGGAGGCACAGTGACTTGCCTATCGAAGCAGCTCGGTCATGATGCTACCATCTGACCCCAGACTGGTATCGCCCACCTGCTGTAGCAGGTATCACTACTGCTGAGTGGGTGCAGCTCCCACATGTTCCCTCGTTGGAGGCTTGAGCACGGATGTGGCTGCTACGGGGTTCCCCGTAATACTACAATGACAATAAACAAAGGCATGAAAGGCCGTCCTGTCCAGATTTGACAGGTTATTGAATTGGTTGGGCTTAAGGAATTAGCCTTAAAAAAATAAAAAAAAATAAAAATAGAGAGAGAGAGATTGTCATTGGGCGTCACTTCACTTCGCTTGAATCTTGACAAATCAAGCGTTAGTCATCACTCCACTAACTCTTGAGGCAGGGGCACGGATTTCCATTCAAGAGCTGTCAGATGCACTCTCGAAAATGTCGCTACATTAACTTTAGAAAGGTGCTCTCCATCTCTCTCTCTTCAAGCGCTGTCAGAAGCCCTCCTCACTAACGCTTGACGATTCTACAGTGGTCACCGAGAAGGGCGTTTTTTTTAAAGGGAGATAGCTAGGACCCCTCACGCGGTTGAAAATTTATAGAGCGGATCTCCAGTCTGGGCCGACAAACAGCGGGGGGTTGTCCTGTAGTGTTCTCTTTTCTTTCATGAGAGTGCTTCACGGAAGTAGCGAGTAGAGAGTCGAGAGTCAGTGCAGCGATGACAGCAATTGTGGCCATTTTTTGGTCCGACAACTCTCGTTGAATACTTGAAGTTTTTTGTGAGTTTATTGTAGTGCAGTGAGGCCAATTGCTCCTTTCCTTTGCCAGTGCCAGCAGATCTCCTGTCCAGACTATACTGTGACGAACTATTTTTTGTAATCGTGCGACTTTCTGCGCGAAGCTGCTTCACGGATTTGGGACTGGTTGGTCGGGTGGAGTGCATGGGTATAGGTCGCCTGGGCAAGTTCCATGTATACCATCGCTTCTTTCTTTTTGGCTTTCGGGACCAGGGCCAGGAAAGTCCTACGCAGACAATTGGGTGACCGCGCCCTAGTGAGCGCGATAAATAACAGTCGTCATAGCTTCTTTCTTGTTCTGCTGTGGCAAATGAGAATTTTGGCGCGATCAGCGCGCGGAAATGTCGTTTTTCAAATTTTCAACTGATGTAGAGCCCCTGTGGGCTCTTGAAATTGTTTTTCTTTTCAGAATTTTTTTTTTTTGCAATTAGGATTTAGACTAGGAATTTAGGTACCTGGCAATCCGGCTGCACGACGCATCCTGCTCACGCGCACCGTGCCTTGGCAAGATCGGGGCTCTGAGGTGCGCCTTTTTTTTTTTTTTCGAAGACATGCTCCAATCTATTCGTGGGGAGCATCACGTGCTGGGAATCGAGCCCAGCGTCCCATATGAAGGAGAGACGGTTAACAGAGACCTCAATTTTCAGACCACTTGTCAGACGATTTATAACAAAACCCAAGGGTCATTTTAACCAAACTTGCCACCAATTCATAGATTGGAGATCGTACTAACTACTTGGGTCCCTGTTAACCGCTTGTGGTAGAAAAGATTTCTGAACAAATTGAAGTACCGGGGCCATTACACGGTTTCGGCTTGAGAGTATTCTCCAAGATCATAAACAAATTGCTGAAAATCGGGATAAATGATGAGCACACTACGAATATAGATGATGAGAAAAACTACGAATTTTTTTTTACGATCGCTAAACACCTCCTGAAATCCACCCGCCATTCTCCGAATACTCAAGTATCTAAGGGAATTCCAGCAGAATATAACAAAGTTCACCAAAACTGACTTATTCTTTAACAAACTCATCCAGGCCTCACACCCCCTATCTGCTAGGTTATAAAGCAATGCGACTCACTCCAGCTCCGACTAGTGTCGTCCTGTGTCAGCAACCCCCAGCTATCCCTTAGGATGCCCCCGCATAGCGTCCCGAGACTCTCTACAAGGCCTCATGCCCTCACCTTCGACAAGTTACAGGGCATCACTCCGACTCCGGCCACTGTTGTTCTAGCATGGAACAACCACGGGTCCTGAATATAACAGTCTAACTTCAGTGCTGCTTCGTATAAACCACCAACAGTCCCTCAGAGTCCTAAGAGATTCTTCAAACTACCAGGAAATAACAAGGGTGCTTGTTTTGAATATCCCAGGAAGAATCAGAAAAAGTTCCAACCAAATTCAAGCAAAGGATATAGAAATTCCCCCCTTTCCCCTCATGATCTCATCCTTTTGCCCCACCGCTGCCTCCACCGAAAAGGACCACCCCTGATCACGAGCACTCCTCATCGGCCCCAACTTGGGACAAACCCATTTCTCCCCCTTACTCCCACAAAGGCATTTAGTTCCCACCCAAAGTATGCCTCTGCCAACCCCTTGCCCTTATCTGCCTCCGCTGGGATATGATGCCGACCCATACATCTCCCCCAGCCCCATAATAGAGCATCCCTCAAAATCTGCCCCGTCTCCCTTCAGGGCAATCACCTCCCTTTTTGTGAAGCCCCTGCAGAGTAGAGCTCTCCCTCAACCCACCCCCTCACCAGAAGTAATTTGTTTACACTAAAGAGGAGAACCAGAATTCCAGACGTTGTTGTAGATTATTTTCCCCCCCTCCCCTACATCTCCCCATATCCCTCCACTGCCTCCACCGAAAAGGACTGCCCTAATCACAAACTCTCCTTATCGGCCACAACTTGTGATATACCTGCTTCCTCCCCCTATTTCCACTAAGGCATCCAGTTTCACCCAAAGTATGCCTCAGCCACCCCCTCACCCCTATCTGTCTCTGATGGGATACATCTCTCCCAGCCCCAGAATAGGGCAACCCCCCAAAATCTGCCCCCACTCCCTCCAGGGCATTTCACCCCGCACCTTATGAAGCCCCTGCGGAGTAGAGCTCTCCTCCTTAAAACCCCACCCCCCCACCCACACAAAAATAATTCATTAATGCGCCCGCAGGGGAACCAAAAATTAATAGTGGAGAAAAGAAAAGACGAGCCTCGAGAGTTTTAGGAACTCAAATTCCTAAGATATGAGTGAAAGAATAGGAAATTTCTGAGAATTATAATGAAGAAAGGCAGATGAGAGTTTTCTTTTTTTGGATTTTCTGATGACGATGAACAGCATCATGAAGATGATGATGATGACAACCAACTCACCTGCTGATGTGAAAGGCAAACAAGGCCTTGAAAAGCAGCATCTAATGATAACAAAATGGTGATGATGATAGTAATGATGAAAATGAAGACAGGATGATGTTGCTGATCATACTGAAGGACAATACCAACAAAGCCCGCACCGACAAATCCAGAACCGAGTTTCGGGAGGGAAATAATATCGGTCGCCGATCTTGACGACAACTTCTCGTACGTCCCACTCGCCAGTGCCGTACCCCCGTTCACCGTTCACGGGGTCTGTGAACGGAGCGGGTCATAGAGTTCACGGAGAGTGTTTTTTTTTTTKTTTTTTTTTTTTTTGGCTAGGGGGGTATGTTTTTTTTTATAGGAGGGTGGGAGACATCGAAGGGTAACTCCCTATGAGTTTTTCAATTTTTTTTTTCACTAATAATATCTTTTTTAATTAAAAATGAAAAAAAAAAATCAACCAACCAAAATAAGCATTTTCGTTTGTTATTTTATAGGCCATTTCAATTTTTCTTTATTTTTTCAATGTCACCACGCTGTGGGGCTTGAGGCGAATGTACCAAGGGGAGGCCCCC